GGATTAATCTCTAGGGTATGCTCTATGGCATTCAACTGAATGTAAGGATAATAGGATGATCCGCCTATTTCAGAATCACTGAACAGATCTGGACGGCGTGAAAGCGGATCGGCAATGTTTTTCTTTCCTCGTTTGTGAAAGACTGTAAAGTCATAGTCAGCTAAAAGCTCTACCCATCTTGCCTCACGCTTGGTGAGAGTCGGTTTGCTTCGTAAATAGACAACACCCATATTATCAGTCATAAGGTCAAAGTGGCGGAATAGATAGATTCTCCAGCTCTTTAATGCAAATACCACAGCCAATGTTTCCCTCTCGGCCACAGTATAGTTGCGTTCCTCAGCTGACAGTTTCCGACTACAATAGGCTACCGGATGCAAATCCAAATCGTCTCCTTGCTGCAGGACCACACCCGCCACGGCAAAGTCACTTGCGTCAGTTTCTACCGTGCAGCTTTTCTCAACATCGGCCAGTTACAGCACTGGCGCCTCGAGTAATGCTGATTGTAGAGACTCGAATGCCTTCTGGGTTGCAGCGCTCTATTCAAAGCGTGAATTTTCCCCGAGATTTCTTCTAATGGACGAGAGATGGTCGAGTGTCGATCTATGAACCTTCGGAAATAGTTTGCAAAGCCAAGAAACTTCTTGGCTTTCGCATTTAGAATTCGCATTTAGACTGTTTGCAATACAGCTCACTTTTAAGTATTTCTAGAACTGTTTGAAGATGATGCTGATGATATTCCCAGGTCTTGCTGAAAACTAGAATATCATCCAAGAATACTACGACGAATTTTCCGAGATGCGGTTGCAGAATAGAGTTCATGAGTGACTGACAGGTGGCCGGGGCATTAGTCAGCCCGAATTCCATGACTCTAAATTGGAAGTGGCCGAACGGCGTATTAATGGCCGTCTTAGAAACATCCGAGTCTTGAATTCTGATTTGATTGTACCCCGACGCAAGTCCAACTTGGAGAAATATGCACTGCCCTGGATCGTGTCGATTGAGTCATCAATATTCGGAAGACAAGCTTTGTTTTTGATCGTAATTCTATTCAATTCTCGCCAATCGCACACCATTCTCAGAGTACCATCCGACTTCTTCAAAAAAAAACACAGGTGCACCGTATGGCGACTTACTTGGCTCAATGAATCGCTTCTCAAGTAATCCTGACAGCTGTGACGGGAGCTCGTCCACCTCTGGTTTCGGCAAGCTGTAGGCGGGTCGAGACGGTGGCCTGGCTCCATCTTCTATCTGGATTTGATGGTCGACTGGTCTCTTCGGTGCAAGCTCATTCGGCAGCTCGTCTGGAAATAAATCCTGGTACCTCTTAAGCAGGTTCTGGATGTCCTGTTGCTCTAACTCCTGGAGTTGTGGCCCGGAACGATTCTCCTCGTTTGCAGCAGTGACCCATTCAAGAAACCCCTCTGCTCCACTCCTCAGGGCATGACGAGCTTGTCGGCCACTGATAAACATGCTTTCCACAGATGGCCGGTCGGCTGTCGGCGGGTTAGCTGAAAGCAATCTGGCAACAAAGGGCTGACCGTCCAACTGAACTTCGTTCGTATGGAAGTTGATGCTGGGGTTGTTCCTTGTAAGCAACGGCTTGCCAAGAATAGCGTCGTAGCGAGTCAAGGGATACACAGTAAAGTGCTGTTCCTCACTGAAGCCCCCAACTGTCACCTTTAGCGTGCGTGTGGAAATCTGCGGGACCTCGCTGGTCGAGCCGTCCGCCAATGTTACACTCAGCATTTCTGAGCTTGCATCCGTGTCAAGATGATGCTTTCGAACAAAACCGTCTGCAATGAAGTCATGCGTCGAACCGGAATCTATCAGCATCACTGCACGGCGACCGCCGATCTTTCCCTGTCCGCGCAGTAGGTCGTGTTCAGGTTCATTACCGACGCTGACGTTGCTGACATGACACCTTTCTGCAACGGGACAATTTCCTACAGCTATGGGTGTCTCCGGCTCCGTAGGTTCCTGGAGAGCAACGTCTTCAACCTCCAGAGCTCCGAACCGGTTAGCGACTGGTAACGGCGTGGGTGCTTGGGTCGTCGCCAGTAAGCGCACCCCTATCTTACTGGCGACCAGCGTTTGGGTAGCGCTGTCCACTCTCAGTACAGTCTTTAGCAAGGTGGCCTAGCTTCCTGCAAGCAAAGCAGTGTCACATTGCTCGCAGTTGGACACGCTCTTGGTACGTCAGCTTGCGGAGGCCCTGGCCACGGAAGCTGGGCACGGAACACGACTCTCTACTGGCTGGTGGCCCCGACGCTGGTGGCCCTGACGACTGCTCAATGGTGTTTGCTGCCATGACAGCTTGCTCCAGGGTACGTGGATGCTCATGCATGACCTGTCGCTGGATGTGCGGCACTAGACCCTGATGAACAGCAGCGCTCTGGTGTGGTGGTCGATTTCCGGCACTTGCAGGCTGAGGCGAGTGAAAGCAGCAATGTATGCGTCCCGCGACCCGTGCTGCGCTGCGGTAATTAATTATTAGTCCCATACGCGATGTGTCCTCGTTGTGCCGTGGTCCGTACACATGGCCAACTGCCGCTTACAGAGCAGGCCAGTCGGAAAACACTTGGTTAGCTTCCAATGCCGCTATCAACCACAGACGAGCGTTTCCTTCAAAATCCTCACGCGTAGTCGACCCTCTGTGCCGCATTTGGGAGTGCCTACGACCGTAGGGTCATGTCCATTGCAAACGTCCATTCTTTAAATGTAGCGGAATCTCTTCCAAACACAGGCGGCTCTTTCGTAAGGCGGGGCGTTGACTCCCACGGTTCCGAGTTCGGATCTATCGTTCGGTTTCCTTGGTTAACGCGCTGAGCGGCCTTGATATCGTTTATCAGCCAAACGACGAGCACGAGGAGCGTAAGCAGAGCGAACAGAACACCTGCCAAAAGCAGATGAGTAACCATCCTCTTGTTACCAGTGTAACAGGTTTAATCAAACTTGAAAAATAAGAGACCTGGTTGAGCGTGCCTCAACCAGTTTTATGCAAAAGGTGATAGTATACATGTGGCAATGGCGCCAATGAAGGTGCTTATAGACAGGCGTAAGATGCACGAGGTGCGAACGAGTGTAAAGTTACAGGGAACAGGGGAAACCTGTTACATATGCCGACTGAAGCCGGCCGAGGGCACACTCCCGTAGGCTAGACTGGACTCCACTGCAAACCCATGAGCCCAATCAGTCGTGCGAGTGAGTAAATGCTGCCATTTTTGCGGAATGGAGCAGTGTATTCCCTCCAAGGTGCTCGTCACCCGGCCATCCGACACGTCTTGGTGGACACCAGAATGCAGCTCCACTGTTGAGGCCGAGGAGAGATGTTGGAAATCATGGAGGAGGAGCCTTGCCAATAATGTCCTGAAGGCCTCCTTTATTGCCTCTTTCGGCAATGCTGCTCACACCTTGCAGGCCGCCCGCACTGCCAGCGCACCTCTAGCCCGACATTCGAGTTCGAGCGACTGCGACCTCCTTCCGCCAGTAAGGAAAGATTTCTTATCTGTTGTTTTCTTTTTTTGTTGTTTTCTTTATTTGAATTCGCTAAAACCAAACGGACAGAACTGTCCAGTGACAAGGGAGCGAATGATTAGGGTCATAATCACTATGCATCAAAACATCTCAGGACAAAATGAGACAGACTATATTAAAGGAGGGTCTGCACAACACTTGTACATAAAGGGGAGTACGAGAACAAAGGCGCGGCAGAAGTCGAAGCAAGAAAGCAATCAACGCCAGAGATATTTTTGTCCACCAAAAACAGAGAGAGAGAGAGAGAGAGAGAGAGAGAGAGAGAGAGAGAGAGAGAGAGAGAGAGAGAGAGAGAGGTCCGAGAGCGAGAGAGAGACAGAGAGAGAGACTAACAAATGAGGGCTGAGACCTCTACAGCAGGGCTTTACGTCTGAAAACAACCGCACGAATTAACAAGCAAGTTGTCAGAGAGCAGGGAGAGAGACGGGCAGGCAGGCCAACAGGCAGGCATATAATGGAAATATGGCGATAGTGATCCGTCTGACCTCAAGGGTTCATGCTGTGTGGAACAGCAGCAGTGCGAAATTGGGCCGGGTGCGGTATGGCCCGTACCTCGCTGGGCAACGCATTCCAGAGCCTAGCTCCTTGGAACGCGAGACAACCCTTACCCAGCTCAGTGCGGGTTGGCGGTGGTCTTAGACCCATCGATGATTGCAGCCGAGTAGGAGCGCCACTGGTTGGTAGCAACAGCACTTGCAGTGTGGGGCTAGCACGGGAGTAGCGGCAGCGCCAAACCAGGAAGATGAGCTTCTGGATGAAGATCTCCCGGACACGGTAGGCGCCGAGTTGGACTAGCAGGTTTCTGGCAGAGGTGCGCGGCGAGCATCCGTACACAGCTCGAGCCGCACGATTCTGCAGAACTTGGAGACGGTCCAGGTGCTTACCCGCCAGCGATGCTGAGAAGGCATTGGAGCCATATGAGAAATCAGGCATGATCACCGACTTGAAGTACTGGATGCGGCTTTGCATGCTGAGGCAGCGGCGCATCCGCCACAGCACACCGACTTTCTTGGTGAGGCGGGCAACGCACCTATCCATCTGGGTGTTCCAAGACATGGCGCTGTCAATGTGAACTCCGAGGTAGCGAGCAGAAGAGACAGATGGCAGCTTAGTCACATGACACCATACGTCCAGTTCAGGTTGCGCTTCTAGCTTCCCAGCCGGTTCTTGATCTCTTTCTTGATTTACTCGCACAACGCGGGAATCCCGAAGTTCGATCTTCCCAGACAACTGGTCATATTGACTTTGGAAGTATAGCTCAAAGTCATTGTCTAGATAAAGGTTAATGTGTTATCTACATCATATATTCCACTAGTGGTAGACACTACAGGCTGAAAGCGAACCTATCCTATCGGCCAGTGGACATGGTAATGGTATGCAAATTTCAAATGACATCGTTGTGCCGTTCTATGTTTAAATCATATACATTGTTGTTATCTCTTGACCTCTTACTTTTCCTATTCCAGCATTACCACTGATAATCACCGGGATCTCCACAGGTATCACGCAAATGGATATGTATGGATATAAAAAAGTGTAAGTCCAGATACCATTAGGCCTTTCAACTTTGTATTTATTCAACATTTCCTGGCTCGTGAAGCGACTGTCGATGAAAAATGATGGTGAAATGAGGGGTTAGAGGCTCCAGAACGTTTTCTTGTCACAATTATCAATACTCGAAACCTCTTTTACGGGCCAAAAAAAATAATCCAATCTGAAGAGCAATGTCAATAAAGCCGCTCATAACGCTAAAAATCAAATCAATTCAGGAAAATTCAATTCAATTCAAAGTCTTGACACATCCGGTAAAAAACAGCAAGAAATAATATCTCGGTGCAAAAGAAGAAAAAGGAAATAAAAATCCGCTTCATTTAATTAAAAGGACCAAATGAAGAAAAGCAAAGAAATACCCACATCATCGCTAAATTGCACCTTAAATTATAAACAAAAACATGACGCGTCCATTAGCATTAAGGACACTATCGAGGTTATACACACCACTGTTACATCCGTCCCTCAGCCATGGCTAGCGGGCGCAATGCATTTACCGGTCGATGGTATGCAGAGCGAGCCCCTCTGATGCACATAACTGCAGCTCAGAGGAGTGCAAACGACAGACGGAATCTGACATAGGCCATAACCTCGCCGTAGGGCTTGCCATCATGCTGTGCCAGCATAGCGCATAATCGCTTCAAAAACCGCAAGCATTCTGGGGATGCACTGCCAGCCGTGGTGAAGACAAGCGGGGTAAAGTTACCACGGTCAACATTGACAATCCTTTCGTTGTACTGCAGCTTCTTCTGCCTCTCGTGCTGGAGAAGGAGGTCAGCGATGGGCTTCTTTGCGTACGAGGCGGCGTTGTTGTTGTTGTTGTTTCTTTATTTTACTTCACCAGAATTACAGGCAGTAGAATGCCTTCTCACTAGACCAGGTCTAGTTCTCACAAATGATGAAGAATGTGAATGAACATGCTAAAGCTAATGAAAAACAAGAAATAGAAAAAGATGAGAAAATCTTGTGTTTTATATTTTATGACGGTATTTGTATGTGAGTGACAGTGATTAAATGACAAGGGAAAGAAAAGAAAAAGATAGAAAGAAAAGAGTAAGGAATAAACGAAGCAGATGTATGAAATAGAAATAGAGAGTTGAGGTATTTGAGGAGAAAAGTCAGTTTGTTGATTAGAGACCAAACCAAAAGATCAAAATGCACATGTCTGACGAATGAGTCAAGACAGAGAAAGCGTGTCAAGAACATCTGGGCCCAGCAGGGCTTTGAAACCCAGAATATCTTCATGGCGACGAATATTTGCCGGAAGCCTGTTCCAATACACGCTGCCCACGAATTGCATGGACGCTCGAGATGCTGGTCCACGAACGAATGGAATTTGGAGAAGACGTGAGATCTGGCCACGTGTAACACGGCGTGTGCTTTGCTCAAGACCAGGTTCAGCGATCAACAGAAAGAAGGGCGAAAATAGCATGCTTGCATTGGAGGCAAGACATCTATGGACAAAAACAACAATCTTGAGCTTAAAATGGTGGATCAGTGGGGAAATATTTAATCTAGAAATAAGAGGTGCGGTCGGTGTTTGACGAGGGAGCTGAAACACAGCTCTGACTCCAGCCTTGCTGATCTTGCCCAAACGGTCGAGAAGCTGAGCTGTGAGGCTTGGGTAGAATGCTGCTGAAGCATAACACAGCTGGCTGTTTACCATACTGGTGTACCACGACCGTCGAGCTCTAAGCGTTAGTCAGGATGAAAGACTCGAATGTCAAGGAAAGTGTTCTGTGCCCTTGTCCAAAACCCACGTATGCGCACGTCAGATCGGGCATCATGTGCCGTGTTGGTGCTGGCAGCTCTGAAGACTTCGCCCTCCAGCGGCTCGAGCAATGGCTCCACAGAAACGTCAGGGCACACCTCCGTGACTAAGTCCGCTATTATGTCTCGTACCTCATTATGTCTAATGGTAAGGAAGCCCCCGGTTGGGCAGCACATCGCATGAGCCGCGGTGAAATCCTGGCCACACACGCATTTCTCCGGGACATCCCTCAGAGGCCATCCGTACCTCAGCGCAATGGCATCGCGGAAGTCGCACTTGGACAGACTGAAGCCGTGCTCACGCAGCGGAAGGGTGTGGAGCCAGCTCGATACACCCTTGGCCGAAAGGTGTTCCAACTGGCGGGCGGCAAGCGGAGTAAGTGTTTCCTTGGCGCTCATATACCGCTGTTCGTCATGTTTTAGCCGTTCCGCCAGAGCTGCTGACTTGGCTCGCTGGGCTGAATGAATTGCATGCTCTATCGATATCGAGGGCCTGGACCGGTCATTCTGGTCGAGTATCTCCAGCGTTTGATCTGATGTGATTTTCCTCGACTACTTCAGAGCCCCATTAGCCATTTGAGACAGGGATGGCATGGCAAAGCCACCCAGGCGTGTGGGAAGCTGAAGAACAGCCCATTCGTTGTCCGAAAATGCCTCCCTGCCAGTTACCGCAGGTATCAATACCGCGCGCATCATGTCATCCATCTGAGAGAGGCAATCGGCTGGAAAAGGTATTGTTCTGAGGAAGTAGGTCCACCGGCCGCGAAGACCATGTGTCAGGGCAGCATAGGCTGCATGCGGCTCCGTGCGCGCAACATCCGATAGTGCCTTTAGTTCCGCAATCCACTCGCCTACTCGCCGCCGCACATGCTCGGCAACAGCATCAGACTCGCCAATGCAGGAGCCTAGGTATTTCGTGGCGCCGGTCGTATGCCAGTACCAGCAAACATATTGTAGGCTTCCTCCTCCTGCTCGGGCTTCACGAGAAGAAGCGTTTTCTCCGGGTTGGTGTTGTATCCGTACAGCTTGCCTTGTTCCTCAACGCTGTCCCACCATCCACGGAGACGAGTCAACTGCCCACCCGCACCAGAATCATCTGCATACCACGTTTGCCGTACGGTAGGATGCACAACCTGCAGTGCCTGGACTAGAGGGAGCGTCGCTAAAGCGTAGAAGACCATGGACAACGGGTCACCTTGCGTAGTGCCCTCGTCGGACGAAATCTCACCACCACCTGCAACAAAGAGTCGAGCCGGGGTGTTATACGAATTTTTCAGTATTGTCGCAATAGGTGGACACAGGTATTGTACATTGTGCAAAGCTGCTTGTCTGTTCAAGCAGTTGAAGGCATTACGTGCGTCTACCAAAAGAACAGCCTCGCAAGACTCATCATCATAAAGGCGTTGCATGGCATGAACAGCAGCTTCGATGCCCGCAGGAAGACCCGAGCATTTCTGTATGAAACCGCACGCTTCTTGAACATCTTGGTTAACAACTTTCAATATCGCTCTGGTAATGATGCGGCGCAGGACTTCCCCAACACCGATTGGGCGCACACCAGGCTTCTTGTCCAGAGCCACAAGTCGACACGCGAGAAAGGGTACCAGGCCAGAGGGTGCAACGTTGGAACTCGCAAGGAGGTGCGCGAGTCCAGACAATGCATTGCATATATTTGTCGATGCGCCTTTAAATGAAGAGCACATCCTTCGCCAACAAAGCCGAATCAAGACCAGACGGTCCAGCCGAGCCCTCGCAATGCAGCGCCGGGTTAGAGGCTTGTAACAGCGGACTCGGTTCGGGTTACATAAATTATTCAAATTACAAAGAAAACAACTACAGAGGAAAATCAACAACCGAGCATCTCCGGCTCCCAAATACAACAAGGGCCCAAATCCAGCGCGTTCAGAGTTCCGCGCGGATCTACAGCTAATCCAAGTCACAGCAGAGTTCAAGTTAATATAGTAGAGCGTAGATTTGTGGACATCACGATTCAAACACATTATCATGATCCAACACATGCACAAGTCATGGCAGCAGGGTTGCGTCATGTCTCCCCTTTTTTGGGAAATACACAGTCAATGACGAATTACGGCTTCTTTCCAGGCCTGGCTGTCGTCGTAGACTTTGTGAGAGCTGGACCATGACGATCACACCTTCCATTTGGTGCTACCTTCACACTGCCTTGTTAGGTGTTGGCACTTCCATAGATACAAGTAGCACTTGCGCTGCCGCCACACTTACCATACTACACACTCACCATACCATACCACATGTCATACCTGCAACGCTTGGCGCCTATTGCTGGCTACTCTCACACCTTGGCCTTATGTAGTTAGGTCTCAGTAGTTATTTGCAGTCAGTTGGATTCTGGACAATAAATCCGTCTTATTGGTGCTAGCGGCTTGATTTGGACCAGTTTTGGAGATGGCAGCGAAACTTCGGCAGGACTTCGGGACCTCTATAACCTTGAGCGACTGGAGAGTATTCATCGCTGCGTACAGGAACACCAGAGTGCTGAATGGGAAGCTGAAGGATGTGACGGGGAGGCCAAGCTGTGGGCAGACGACAAGGAGTTCCGGGCTCGTTTCATTATTCAGCAACTTCGTGGGAAGCCTCTACTTTGGCTGAGCCAAGAGGAAAACAAGGATGCCCTAAAAGATGAGGAGGGTGTGGTAAAACTGATGGAAGGACGATATGGCCACACCAGAGCCAGAGTGGCATAGTTATATTAACGACTTCGAGAAATCAGTGCAGGAGTCCGGAGAGACTACACTAGCGTTCCTGAGTCGTCTCCGGCAGCTGGCCAGCACCGCATTCCCGAACCTCTCTGAGGAGGCCAAACGGGAGAGAGTGTTGTCGAAATTTGTGATGAGCCTAAGGGACCAGCGTTGAAAGGAAGAGTTGCAAGTGTACGGTTTCATAAAGGAGGAGTCGAGTACGACAAGGACGTACGAGGAAATTCTTTCGTCGTGCTGGAGGGCAGCAGAGAATAGAATAACTGGACAGCAAAATGCACACACAGTTAGGACGGATTCAACGGTGGAAGCGTTAAGGAGCCAGATCGAGGACCTGACTGATCAGGTAGCGGCATTGCCGTCGCACTCAACACGGGCACCTCAAGCAAGGAGGCAGCCTGGCCCTAGTAATTGGAAGTGTAACAGGTTTAATCGAACTTGAAAAGTAAGAGGCCTGGTTGAGCATGCCTCGACCAGTTG